GATGCATTTGTGCATGTCTTACTAAGCAAGGCATAAAAACAGTTGCTTTATGAGGAATTAGTTCGTACCATTGAATACTTGACGCAATAGACAAGGTGTTGCAGAAACCGATGTTGCTATAACCAAGTTTTACTTTATATCAAGGAACTACGAGCGGCACAGAAATAGTCAAATTTACCCACTTATAAGAGCTATCGTACCACCCTGAGTTTGGCATGCACAATCAGTGTACAGAAAGCATGACAGGAACTGCCATTCCAGTCAGAAAACTAGTGTATGATAAGTTAAGCCCAGTTCTTTACAGATACTTTAAATTAAATTAAACTTTGTAAAGTGTTTTATTATTTTAGAAGGGTGGAGTACCAATAATTTCATTATGTTAGGAAGAGAATGGGGATTATCAAATACTAATAAAATTCCTGTTTTTCATTATACATATATAATATAAACATAGAAATATAATGAAATTGCTTACTTATCAAGATATCTTATAATTATATATTCCTATAGACCAACTTTGTATTACTCATTGCCATGCTATCCTATAATGACCTCTTGATACAGTTTGTGTTTAATAAAATTCAGGACAGTTACATACGGCTTCCAAAATAAGAACAAAAATCAGGATTCTTACACCAGATCTCTTGAAAATTCCAGATTTTCAAGGCAATTCTAACCATATGAAACTCCTGAAAGAATAAACTGATTCCACAATTCTTAAACTTTTGAAGCCTCCAGAATCAAACACTGGGCACTTGAACAAATGACATTACAATGTAATTATGTATTTTAAAGGGTTGTATACAAAGTTATAAAGTCGATAACTTTACTCAAAAAGTGTTCATGCTTTCAAAGTGAATATTTATTAATTTTTACGACAAATTTTTGTTAATGACAGATCAAGCATTGCTCCTAAACTAGGAACTGTGAAGTAAAATTTTGTGTGATGTATGTTCAAACCTGCTATTAATTTCATGTGCTCTAAGTTTTGCATTGCACTTACAAAATGAAAATTTCACAACAGGACAAAAACTGAATTACATCTTTAATTAACTGTGGTAAAATACAACTTTTTTGCAGGCATTTTCATTTAAACTGAAATCACAAGGGAAACATTTAGAAACATCCCCCTTATCTTCTACACACATTCAGGACTGTAATGTCACTCAAATCATACTTCTGAACCAGGTGAAATGGAAAGTATTAAAAGAACATAAAGCCATAGCAACAGATGCACAGAAACCTCACAAAAGCTACCAGACAGTAATGGAGACCACAGAGAAAAGTATTCTATACACAGCATAATTATGTATTATAGCAAGTGTCACGTAACTTCGAACAAGGCCAAGAGTAACCTTGAATGGGTTCGAGGGTGTGAGAAGTAGCAGGCAGCCAGTTGTTTGTAAGGCACCCTAAAAGCAGGTTATACTTATGGTTTTTCTATCATCTGTTTAAAAACGTCAGTTTCCTTGTGCGCTAAATCGTACATAATGAGTAAGAAATTAGGTCAGGGTATAGGTCTACACTCACAGATGAAGCAAGTAATTGCAAATGTATATAATTACTTAAAGAGACTAGCAGATAGTGAAGCTGCTGTAAACTTAAAGCCAATCCAGAAAATAGTATGTGAAGCTACAGGAATCGGCCGTGCTGCACTGAATGAAATTATTCGAAAAGAAAAGAGCTTATTGTAATATGTTCTTCGAAAAGAGAATAGGGTAGTTTCGATGAAACATGAGGGGTTGGTGAAAGTGGAAGAACAGGTGTTAAGAAACTCCTCCCATCACAAGCTATGCGCAGGATTTGACTAGGAATGCGGGGCCTTGTTCAAAGTTACATGACACTGTGAATAATGAGGACTGTATTCTCATGTGAAAAGTAAGATTTGTGGCGCTTATGAATATACAGCATGTACGCACCCTAACAACTGCACTTATGTTTACTTTAGATGACATTGGTATATGAAATATACCTGTAAGAAGTTGCCAGTAAAACTGAGACTTGCACTGAGACACGCTGTTACATTAGAACGCATGGTTTAGATGCTTCTGAAATCTGTGCCAACGTCCCTCCTTCCAAAAAGAAGTTGAAAACTCAAAAGGAAATAGCAAATTCATGAATATGAAGAGATAACTTTGGTAGACTGAGAGACTTGGGTAACAGAATTCTAAAAGTTACCTGTAAATGCTGAAATTGGTGGATTCATTTCCGAAGTTCTTAACACACCCTTCAAACTTCTCATCTGTTCCATCTGCATCTTCATTAGCTGCTGTCTACACGATGCGCTATAAAGACACACAAAGTAAAACAAATTCCAATACCTACAACAGTTTACCTTGGATAAACCTAATTCATCCACATGTAATACACATTCTTCATGGTCAGGAGCTCATTTCCTCACTGAATCACACTGGGTTTCTTGAATCATGCTGTGGAATTATGTTTTATTTTTTTTGTGTCCCATAAAGAGCATACTTTGGCATACACAATGTGGATGTTCAGTACATTCATTGCATTTCATTTGCTGAAATAGTCATGTAAGACTGTTACGGATTCAACTGCGGCATTAATTCGGCTGACAACATGATGTACGGACAAAATGAATATCACTCAAATATAGGCCATGAAGTCTTCTTGGGCAGTCAGCTGCATCATTACAAGTTAACGGCTGGCTGCCTGAGAAGAACTGACTCACCATAAAGCTTCAAATCTTATACCAGGGCATATGAAATCATGTACGGCAGTTAAAGTGTTGAAGCCATAACTGTGTTCATGAGTGGAAAAGAATAAAGCATATTAACAAATATGAAAGTTAATAATATAATAACTGTCTGATGGAAGATTTAAAATCTACTGAACTGCAGTAGTTACTGGTGACTGTCTACCCACTGAATTAGGACTAATCACAACTTAAAAGCCACAATTACAACTAGCCAACACACTGTGGCATATACACTCATTCCTAAGTGGTGACCCTGTAAACAGCGGCCGTCGCTAGGTAACATAAACAACATAACAAAACAGACAACAATATTATTTAGAGAGGCAGTTCCTTCACACCCATTGTAATGGTTAACAAATGTAGTAACAAAATGAATATATGCTGATGATGTTAGCATTACAGCAGAGAGGCTGTTAAGCCACACTGCATCAGATCAGTCATGACTGTTCACATGTCTCCTACAAAATCTGCTCCAGTTGTATTCACTAAAAGATTTAAAAAGGAATGTGAGAGCACATATGCCCCATTCACAATTCAACATGTAATTCTGCATAGTAAACACAAAGTACATCACCACAATGTAGATGCAACATCAGATTTAATTTAGGATGCGAATGTCATTGCAGCAGTTTTTTTTTTATTTGGGGGGGGGGGGCATGCATAGTGACTTCTGCATTAAGTTTTTCTTTGGGGACAAGATTCCTTTAAATTAAATGAGGGTTATATAGAATTGCAGAGAATGAGATCCTACTGTTAATTACACATTTTTGCTTTAATTTAACATAAAATGCACAAATATATGTTACAGAAGTCCCTACCTACTTTGGCATTGAAATCTCCTAACACAATTTTCATATGGTGTTTTGGGAATTTGTCAAATACATGTTCTAGTTCTGCCACCTCTGTGGTCTAGTGGTCCAAGTTCCTGGCTACAGATCCAGAGGTCCCGGGTTCAATTCCCGGAACTACCAGATTTTCTGAGAAGAAGTGGGTCTGAAATGGGGTCCACTCAGCCTCGTGGGGATAATTGAGGAGCTATTTCAAGGAAACAGCAGCTCCCATCTAGAGAACCCAGATTAATGGATGTGGGGATCCTTTGCACTGACCACACGACACCCTCTGTCCACTAAAGTTGACACTAACTTTACCAAGTGGCGGTCCCTCGGTCAGTATAGTTCACTTGCAGACAACAGGCCACAGAGTTTGCTGTTTGCTTGTTTGTTTGTTGTAGTTCTTCGCAGAGCCTATCTTTATATCATCAATTTTATCTTCTTCTGGGGGCATGAACATTCAGGACGATATCACACCAGTGACCTATTAGTATTATGTATGATATCTTATCACTAATGAACTCTACCCTCTTAACTGCTTATATAATTCTCTTGTGCATGAAAAAAACCTGTACCTAATTCATGATTTTCATTCCCCTTTCCATAGATTCAGTGCTACCTCCACCCCATCTTACCTCCTGTACTCCCACTAAATCCAAGTTATATTCTGAGATTTCATCCGTCACTGCCCTGAACAAACCTGCCTTGTACATATGTACTTCTAACATTCTAAGTACCAAATCTAATATCCATTTTCTTTTACTTAGGTCATTTACCCAAGGAATCCATCCAGGTCCGAGGCTTCTCGCAAATTTTCATAACAAGCTTATTTTTTATGTTGAGTGGTTGTTAGCCCCATCCCCAGGCCCCAGTCTGGAGGACCACCCCTTGTTGGTCATCCGCAACTGCATATTCAATATATTTGCAGCTACCCTCAGTAACTGGAGGGAGTCTCCTCCTACCTCAACCTAAGGACGTGCCATGCCATGGTGACAAGGGACCCACCTAACATGGGATAACACAAGCATAACCATAAAGAAAAACACACAAACTTTAATTGATGCTAGTATGAAGGTTGGTCTAGAAGTAAACACAGAGAAAACTAAGTACATGTTGCTGTCTCGTCACCAGAATTCAGGGCAAAATCATGACATAATGACAGCTAACAAAATTTTTGAAAATGTGGCACAGTTCAGATATCTGGGAATGACTATAACAAATCAAAACCTGATTTAGGAGGAAATGAAGAGTTGACTGGATTCAGGTAATGCTTGCTACCATTCAGTTCAGAACCCTTTGCCTTCTTGTCTGCTGTCTAAAAACATAAAAATCAGAATATACAGAACTACAATTCTGCCTGTGGTTCTGTATCGGTGTGAAACTTGGTCTCTGACATTAAGGGAGGAACATAGACTAAGGGCGTTTGAGAACAGGGAGCGGAGGAGAATATTTGGACTGAAGAGAGATGAAGTGATGGGAGGTTGCAGAAAACTGCATAATGAGGAGCTTCATAACTTGTGCTCTTCTCCATGTATAATTAGAATGATCAAGTCAAGGAGGATGAGATTGGCAGGGCATGCAGCATGAACAGGATGGTATGGATTGGACTGATCTGGCTCAGGATAGGGACCAGTGGAGGGCTCTTGTGAACATGGTAATGAACCTTTGGGTTACATAAAATGCTGGAAAGTTCTTAAGCAGCTGCACATTTGGCGGTTTCTCAGGAAAGGCTAAGCTCCGTGAGCGAGTGAGGTACTCAAACAGGCTTCTACTGCTGAAATATGGAAACAGGACCTGTACTGCAGAAATGTTAAATACTGTAGGCAGGTACTGAAACAGGACTGTATTCCAGAAAACATTCATCAAAAACATTCATGTTTCACTGGGGAATCCTCAAAAGAAGTTCCATTTAACATCTACTGTTTCATTTACTTTTTATGTCATACCTGATTAATGGCTCTGTTGGACTGGATTCATTAAGTGACTCATATAACGGATTTAAATTCACTGGAACTGCTTTAATTACCATTGGAACAAATACTCTACCATCTGCAACACAGAACAGTTAACTAATTAAATTAAAAAGTAAGACGGGAAAGTACTAATACAACATATATCACAAAAAAGATTTTATGAGCTATACAAAATACACATTTTATAGACTGAACCATTTAATATACCACTTAAAAAGACAGATAACTGAAGTCAACCTATCCTTGTTAGCAGAACAAATTTTCCATATACTTGCCATACACATGCCTGACTGTATCTGTGTCATGCACTGTACTTAAAATTACTGAAATCAGCTCACTGTTGCTCTGCCTCGAACATGTTCCTCTGACTATGTAAAAGGAATGCTTCAAGAATGTATCATCATACACCCCAATATCAGTATAAACATTTGGTGTAATATCAATGTCGGATGTTGCGGCAGTCTCTGGTATAATCCTTAAAAACAAAAGCATACTTACCGGATAGTTTTTTGGGTGGAGTCCGGGGTACACTCTTAATAGGCTTGAAATGATGCATTTCCTGATTAATGCTATCATGGCTGCCCGTACTCATGTTGCTTGTGCAACGGACTCTCTCCAGCTCTGTAAGTGTATTGTAAAATAAGTGTTATTACATAAATTCCACCTTAACATGAGTGGACATTTAGCTTGATACACTTCCTGACACTCATTCTATTTATAGTATATACTTTCTGGGGATCCTGGTGAAAACCTCATATAAACATATTCACCAACACAATGTCTGAACGGCTCTAAAATTAAAATCACTTTTCCAAAAACGTTATACACCCACGTCACTAGAACATGTCATTCACATACAATCTCACATTTTGACAGCAATACTTTATGGTAATTCATCAAAGATGTCACTTTCAACACAGATCATGCACTTTTGCTATAAATCCACAAGGAAATTAGGGTCAGGTTACTTTCAGATGAACTTTTCCCTTATATTCTTAAAATTGTACCACATTCTAATTCCAGGTAACAGATTCAGTGTGGTAATTATAGAAGAACATGTGTACAAAAGGTTAGGCAGTATTTGTAGCAAGTACATCTAAATACACTTCATATGATGTTGTTACTACTAAAAAATGTGTTGTAATAATGTACGTAATTAGCAAATCCTATCACACATATCACTTCCAAGTTATAAGAGTTTCTATAGGATTCTGATGATGGTGTATAACACATAGAGATATTGGGTTTTTGGACTTTATCCACCATCCTGGTTTTAAGATAACTTTAAGAAAAACACGACGTTTCAGAAACTGGAGCTAGAGAAAGAGCCAGCCTCAATCTTTCTAGCTCTTTCTAAGGGACCCAACAGAATAGGTGTTTTCCCTCACCTGAGGACGGAAACAGATCCAGTTTCTGAAACGTCATGTTTTTCTTAAAGTTATCTTAAAAACCAGGACGATGGATAAAGTCTGAAACCCAATATCTCTATATAAGAGTTTCATTTGTAACAAAATTCTGAGCAGGCTAAATCCAGTGAAAAACTGCTACCACTTAGTTCTGAACCTCATATCTAGAAATCTGATGATCAGAACATATCAAATGTATAAAACCGTCATTTCATATGGATGTGAAACGCGATTTCTCACACTACAGAAAGAACACAGATTGGAAGTGATTGAAAACAGGGTACTAAGATGAATATTTAGTATTGAAAGGAATCTCCTGAAAGCTGCATACTGAGGAGAACCGTAATTTGTAATTCTCGCCAAATCAAAGAGGATAATCTGTTCAGAGCACATGCAAATCAGGTAGGAGACAAAAGTGGGAATTTCATTATATACTAAAATGAAAATAGTGCAGGCTCCTCTGATTTTATGGAGTTCATTCAGTTATTCAGTATAGAGGGGGTGGGTTTCTCCATGCACCGCGACTAATAGTCTATTGTACGTCCCCCTTTAATTTCTACTATCGCCATACCCTACTGATACTGGTGCCTGCTATCTCCCCTTTCTGCTAGCGAGGTCGGCCCTCTACTGGCAGTGGTACCCGATAACTCTCCCCTTTCTGCAAGCGAGGTCAGCCCTCTACTGGCATTGGTACCCGATAACTTCCCCACCTACCGGAGGCATTTGAAACTACTTGGGTGGGAAACATTTTGCCTAATTTTGCTCAGAGGTCTCCTAGAGACATGAGGATCTTTTACGCGCCGTAAATCTACGATACGGGACCCACGGCTTAAAGTCCCTCCCAGAGGACTTGTTCCCTGAATTTTTCCGCCCTTAAAAATTCCACGACCTCTACCGGGTTTCAACCCGCGTACCTTGAGTCATGAGGTGGGAACGTTACCCCTAGACTACAGAGGCCGCTTTTTATGGAGTTAGTAGACTTGATACTGATCGAGCTGAAGGTAATTCATAGAGGAGCAAATTTCATTATACACACATGACATTCCATACCTGGTCCAGTTTTAAGTTTACTGCTAATAAACTTAACGCTGAAGCTACTGTCAGATGCAGTCGGAAATTTGCCACTTGAGACAGTTGACTTCTTCTGCTGTGGAATTATGTACGAATCCATGGGTCCCTTTATTTGGGTCCCTATAGTGCCTTGTGCTTGACTGTTGTTCTCTTTGTTATCCATTCGAACATGGAGACCACCAATCTCCTTCTTGACAGTCAAACCACTATCACCAGTGCTCTGAAAAATATAAAAAGTACAAGTTCAGCAGTAAACCTCTAGATCACAGACAGCAGTCAGGACATTCCATCTGTAGGTTCTACATTTGATTCAATATGTTATGTGCTATTTCACTTTGCTAATTTTAAAGAAAGAAATTTTATTTAATTTATTTTAATCACTGTAAAATCATAAAAACTAAATACTATCAGAAAAGTCTTCAATGGCTAGTATTTTATTACTCAGTGTGCAGATGGACACCTGAAACATTCCTGAACTGACTGTCAAACCTTTTCACACATTTACTTTCATAGGTCTTGCTTCCTTTTGTATTCCAAAAAACACATCATAAATTCATTCTTGGAACATTCTGTGCAATTACATTACACTACCTACCACAGAAATATACATATAGAAAATTCATACAGATATTAAGGTTCTAAAATTTTATCTTTAACATTTCTTACTTACTTACTTATTTACTCATGGAGCTGAGATCTTCTGGGGGAGCCGCCAAATCTGCAGCTACTCAAGAATTTCCCAGCATTTTATGGAACCCGAAGGTTCATTGCCATGTTCACAAGAGCCCTCCATTGGTCCGTATCCTGAGCTAGATCTAGCAAATCCATACCATCCCATCCTGTCTCCCTAAGATCCATTCTAATATTGTCCACCCACCTATGCCTTGGTTTTCCCTGTGATCTCTTTCCTTCTGGCTTTCCCACCAATATCCTATACGCATTCCTCGTCTCCCCCATTCATGCAACATGAACTGCCACCTCATCCTCCTTGACTTGATCATTCTAATTATACTTTGAGAAGAGTATAAGTTATGAAGCTCTTCATTATGCAGTTTTCTCCAACCTCCTGTCACTTCATCTCTCTTCGGTCCAAAATTCTCCTCAACACCTTGTTCTCAAACACCCTCAGTCTATGTTCCTCCCTTAATGTCAGAGACCAAGTTTCATGCCCATCTTTAACATCTTTAACATCTTTAACATTTCTTACATGAGATAAAAACAACACCTAAATTTTAATTAAATTCTTCAAAAATATCAAGTTTATATTTTGTACTGAAATCATACGCTCTCCCTACAACCCTGAATATAATGTCTTTCCCATTCATTCTGAAGACTTGAGGGACAATTTAAGATAATTTTAGCCATGTTCATCAAAACCAAATAGTTTATAGCTCACTACTGAGTTTGAAATATACCTGTTTACCTTAGTGTCCTACTTTAACTTACAGAATGGGCCCAATAAAAATAAATTAACAGTGACCTGCAATGACTCTTTCTGAAGATCTCTCGCAATCTGTTCATCAGCTGCTGCCTGATCCAACAGCTGCTGCCGTGCAGCAAGGTAATTCCTCTCCTCTTCCTCCTTTAATGCACAAAGAGATCAATCATTAAAGTAATAGATTCTCAATTATCTGCAATCAGATTATCTACTTTGGCGATTTACATTGTGGTCTTCGGGATTATAATGCCACCAGTGTTGTGGTCAGTTATGAATGTTTCAGAAGAACCTGTTGTCTCCATCTTCAGAATAAATGTGCAGTTTAATTATTCTGTTTCTAAAAATAATTTTAGCCTAAATACAAAAGAAATGTTTATGTCAACAGTGACCATCTCTTCTTTTTATGGGTATAAACGTTTGAACTGTGCACACTTAGACTCTAACCGCACACTTATTCCCCCCTTCAACATTTTTCACTGCCCACTGAACTTCCTTCTTGTTTCAACTTTGTCACTCCATTTGCAACCAGTTCTTAACAGCTAATTCATCGAACAATGCAATAAAAGTATTCAGTGTACAGACACGTTTTGCAACACTGTACATTAATGATATTTTCTTAAAATATTTTAAATTTCACAGTGCTTCAGTGCTTTTACAATCATTATTAAATTCGCTAAGAAACATACTGAGGCAGCACTTTCCCCAGAAGCACACAGATATGGTTAACAGTTTTAAAAATTCTGCAACAATCTTACAGCATTAGATGCCATAATAAAAATAAAAAAAAAATGTGGAATATGATTAAGACAGGCTATCATACACACATAATTGAAAAGATATTTCTAGAAAACAATGAAAAAAATTTGTTCCTGTTCAATAAATTGCTATCTGCTTACAAAAGGTGTCAGAATGATGGAAATGAGGACACTGAACAGTGGTTTGAAGCTGACTGTACGGTCCATGGTTGAGATAATGACCAACAGTGAAACATCCAACTATCCAATACTAAAACTGACCCTCCATATTGATTAGATAGCAAGATATGAAAACATGAATGTAAAACTGTGAAGCAGTGAAACAGGCACAGACATAGTCAGCTGGGAATATCACTAGTTCTACAGAAGGGTCAAAGGGAATGGGATTTCTTAATTTATCCTGTCAGCTGATGGAGGAAACGGAACCCACTTTGAAAACAAAAACAAAGCAACTTTCAAGTAAAAAATATTGCTACACAACATTTGTCAGAAATTCTGTGTCTACATCGTCACAGCTGGAAGTCATAGCTCCTGGTAGTATAAACTGAAAAATGTACTTTTGGAACAATGATGCCTCCCAAAAATATTATCTTTGGTACTACAAAATATGAAGTATGACTAATTTGTTCGTTTCAGAATCTTTCATCAATTCTAATGTCTTGGGTAAATCACAGACATTTTCCAAACTCTATTCACATCTCTGTTGTCCTTGCACTAATCCAATTCTTAATATAGGTAGCCATGATTGTTTGGATGACAGAAAGTGACAAAAAGTATTGTGGAAAAGATGAAAATAATGAAATATGAACATGTTCAAGTTTATAAAAAATTACTAATTCTGTGCATAAAAATGTGTAATTATTTAATACTCAATTTTACATAGCTGACACCTCTTGTACCTCAACTGGTGGAAGAAGTGAGTATTCAGTCTCAATTTCTGGAAGATGAGGCATGAAGTTTGGTAGGTTGATAGGGGTGGCTCTGATGCACATACTAGAGGGAGAAGTGGTTGGAGATACTAGCTAAAACCTGAAGTGACATGCTGTCACAGATTATGTACCCATACCCAGAGCCAATTGTCTAGATAATGTGGGACCCTCAACGTCTCACAACCCTATGGGCCTTCATGGCCTCTTACAGGGATAGCTTTACTTTTTTTTTTCTTTTCTTTTTTCTTTTTTTTCATTTTACCCCTTAATCACAGACCATGATGATCCTGAAGCTTATGCTTAATATCTTGGTGAATGGTTTGTGACCTTATGTGTGTAGATGTTTGAAACACTGGAAATTTCATAGCATCTGCATAATACTGGAAAATCAGTATATTAATCTTGTATATAGTCTTATTACTCAGCAAGGTTCACATACATTAAAAAGTGTACTGTAATGAGATAGCAGATATCAAACGTTTATTAGTTCTAAATTTACATGCAAATTTTTAGAGTCTTTTTTGTTAACTACAGCTGCTTTCAAAATTCTGTTCTTTCATAATTCTATAAAGTATTACCCTACCATTATTTTACATATAAGCTCTTCGCTTGCCCGACGTTCCGCTTCCAATTTCTTTCGCGATTCTTCTTCCAACTTGTGAATATGTATTTCATATTCTCTACGTATGTCGCCTGGTAGACTGATTTGAGTTGATACTCGACCAACAACATCTACAAATACAAGAAAAACAGTAATACTCCCAGATGTAGTCTATGATTTGAATGGATTGACAATCGTACAAAACATTTGTCTAAACATTGATCTGTCAAGATAGAGAAAGCATGGAGTTTTATTTTTTATTATGAACAGTGAGGTTATACACACCATGTAAGTACCAACAAAAAGACTACAACAGTAATATTATTAAACATGATACTCACGTTCTTCGATCCCATCGTCATTTCCACTCAATTTTGCTTGAAGTTGCTCCGGAAATCGCTTTTGAATGATGGCCCATAACTCTTTATTTACTAAGTTCTGATCTTTCGTAGCTGTCCTTAACCAACTACCTATTCGTTTTCTACACATAGGACAGGTCAAACTCGTTTCTTCCATGGTACGTTGAAAACACTGTAGACACAGGACGTGATGGCAGGGCATTACTACAGGTTCAATGAAAATTCCTCTGCACACAGGGCACATTACGTCTACCACAGTGATATTGTTATACATATTTGTTGTTCCTTCGTTCAAACACGTCGCCATTTTCAGCGCGAAACTGGTTGCATCAAAAACCCGGATAAAGAACTTGAGGCACGATAGGAACGAAATTGTAAAAGGTGAAGCAATAAACAAGAACCTGGTAAACGTCCTGCCTTGAAATCGTTCGGGAAGTCAACTTTTGACGTGACTGTAAACTAAAGTGGGACTGTTAAGTTAACATGGTTTAAATTGCACAACTACACATAGAAAGCGTCAGATGATTATCATTTCGCAGTATACAACATTTATACCATGTATTATTCTGACAAGGTTGTAAATGGTGTACTTCTGAATGTACTATATCAGGCATGTCCAACGCGTCGATCGCGGGACGATTTTTGGTCTATCTCTTAGGCCTATATGGAAATTATACGTGAAAAGCATGTAAATTCACTTCCATTATAAAATAAGAAAAAGATCATAGCTACTATTCAGTATCTTCAATTATCAAGAAACACCATTGTGCGGCAAATATAAATGATGTGTGAAAACATAACTGAACAGATGTTGAAAGATGTTTCGAACTGTGTTGCTTTCTCCCACCAACTGGAAGAATCTACAGACGTCAGAGACACAGCTCAGTTACTAGTTGCTTTTACAACAAACATCATGTGTCGTGTTATTCTTACCAGTATCTTACCAGTATTAGGAGGGGGTGCTAGATCACTGGCAGTTTTGACACTAAAAAGCCGATCACAACCTGT